CAACTTCTCTTTCTTTTTCTAGGTCACTAAGTTCTTCTGATCACCCACAAGTCCCAAACAGAGGAACAAATGGTAATTTCTATGAGCACTTCTTGGAGGTCCTTTGTCCAAAATCTTTTCCTCCTTAGCTCATGGATTTCTGGATTTGGACTTTAGTTTCTCACTGCACACCCTCAAAATAACACTCCCTAACTCTCAGCTCCTTTTCAGACTCCAAAGTATCATCAGAAGGATGGAGGAGCAGGGATGTTTCATATGAAATAAAGTGTCCTATGAACAGTGTCCTACCCTGCTCTCACTGTATCTATTTTCTTCTAGGAGGTCATTTTGTTTCTTCTTCTTTAACTTTTTGCTGTCACTTTCTTTGAAGTTGCACCTTAAGGTAAATAACTACAAAGAGTATTTAGCTTAAAAAGATGGATTTTTCTGATAAATAAGCAGGTAGGCAGGCAACAGATAATAACCATCATAGCTCCTTGTGGATAAATGCAAAGTGCATGTTAAATACAACTGTGTTAGGGCCCTCCCTGGTGGCGCAGCGGGTTAAAGCACTGCACTGAGAATCCAAAGCCGCTTCCGCATGAGTTCAATTCCCGCCTGCCCTGGAGGTGACCACATGGCGCGGCAGACCTCTCCTGACCCGCCCGCTGCTCCCCTCAGCAGTGTACTTCGCTGATCTGCCTGTTCTGTTCCCCACTCTGTCTCTGGTGAAGCCTCTCACCGCCCCTGAGCCTCTGGCCTGTACCCCAGTTCTGTATGCACAAATAAATAAATCTTTAAAAAAAAAAAAAAAATACAACTGTGTTAAATGCCAAGGATAACAATGATACTATTAACAATTGTAACAATAACACTGGCATGCAATATGAGTTCAGTTATGTCTTTCCAGAGTTTATAGACCACAGGTAATGTCAGGCAGGGAAGTCAACTGTCACCCTAGAATGTGCTGTTCTGTGTGAGGAGGGTTACCTGTCTTGCAGGAGAGACACATTCCTTAGGAAGTGACAGCCACTCAGATTTTGTCAGACATCAGGATATATAGATCATGCTGGTATCTTCAGGTTTATGAAAACAGAAAAAACAAAATCATTACAGGATAAAAAGACCCTTGCACCTACCTCCTGTTTACTACAAAACATTGTCCAAGGCTTCCAAGGATGAGTGGTTTATAGACACCTTTAGTTGGGTCATTGGATTGATCCCCACTGACTTCTCACTCAGCCCTGGGGCACTGCAGAGCTCACTGACTGAAGCCTGTGATATTAAGTGACTCAATCTGAAAATTCAATATCTACCGGCAATGTCACCAAATCAAATTAGCAGTGCTTAATTTTCCTTGATTGAAAACATACACAGGAATAATCAGATTGTACCTCACAGAGATGATTTAAAAATCTGGAGCACAATCTAGTTAGCAGGTTACATAAAAGATGCAGGAAGAGTTCTGTTAATGCATCATTATATAATCAGCGTTGTACTCATTGTATTTATCATTATGATTTAACTGATATCCCTTTTCTTCATTTTGAGCTTTGCTCATCTTTTATCCGGTCATGGTATATACACTTCCAACCTATCAGAGGAAAGAAAGAACAGGGCATTGATTTGCCAGCAAGACTGAACTATGTGATGGTGCCAACCAGCAGCACACACTGGGGAGACACCATCTGGACTGACTGAACTTTTACTGTTAGTTTTTCTCTCATTGATATCAGTATCTGATGTTTTGAATCCATGAGAATAGACATATAAAAACCACATAAAATTAAATTTAAATGTCTAACTCAAATCTTATATAATATTGACAGCAGATCTCAACTTCATTTTATTTTCTTTTGTGAAGTTGATCACTCTCTCCATAAAATTAGAGGAATGTTGGCAGATTAGTATGTCTGTGCTGTTTTCATTTTTTTAACTAGGACTGTCTTAGCTAGGCTGCAGAGAAAGTTCTGGTTTCTTAAAAATTATTTTTATATTTTTATGTTAACAGTTTTTAATATTCAGTATATTAAAACCACACTATTGATAAACATTCTGGGTTTTCTTATTTATTACATCCTGAATAAAAGATACTGTTATTTTACATACTTTGAAAAAAATTCTTTGTGTGGAGTGTTATGTATGGTCCCCAATATCCAGCAGGGTGGGGCTGAGTCTATTTTCTTAACAAAAAACTGAAATGTGTTTTTAGAGCATTCAATAAGAAGTGATTTTTGAATGTAATGTTTTGTGAAATAAGTAAAACTTATAATACATATTTTTTTACAACAGCGAGCTGTTTCATGTCCATGTTATAGCTTTTATACTGCTATACTTGCAGTTGCAACTTATATTTCAAATTCAGAATTTTATCTTACAAATGCATTTGATTAGAGGTAAGGAAAGTCTATTTTTATTGACTTTATGTTATGAGTTTTAAAATACACTACAAAATGATAAAATAAAAGTTAAAAAAATCACTATTATAAAACAAGAGGGTTAAATAATCTCTGCTTACCTGATACACACTATAGAGAAATCTCTATCATTCTTTTAATAATAGCATGTTATAACACATAAATTTCTGGGTTTTATTTCCGAGTAATACATTTCAACAACTATTATTATTCCCAATCTCAACCTCCCTTATTTCCCGTGAACTTAGGTAGGAAATTGCACCTTGTTCACTGAGGACAACACTGACCCAGACATGTTTTCATTTAAACTCCAAGCTCTGTGATCTCGGCAGCAACTGGGAGAACATGAGACTGTCCGGCTGGATCAGAGATGCGGTTCGCTTCTTTCTGGGGATGTGGGCTGTCCTCTACTCCAGCTCTGGGGAATAGAGATTCCCCGTTTGGCTCGGAGGCAGAAGGCTTCACAGGGCTAATTATGAACTATAACTGCTGTGAAATTGAGAATACTAATTTTCAAATCATTAAAAAATGATTTCTTTACCTCAAACAATACAACTTGCAAACATGTTTATTTTTTAAGGTCCTCTGCTCATATAAACATGTAATTTAACTTTGGTTACAGTGACTTACATAAGAAGCCAAATGAAGTTAATAGAGAGTACACTAAGCCTTCAGTTGTCTCGCTTGAGAGGTGTGAAAGCGAGAATGACATTAGGTGGTTTTAAAAACTCTAAGAGAATAAGAATACATCTGACTGTTGCTGTCACTCTTTTCTAAACATTGTAAATTATGAACCCATGCATCCAATGCTTATTTATTAAGTATCAATAAATCGGTAACTATGAGCTGTTCTTCAAGAGACACAAAGAACTTGGCAGCTTCTAGGTTTTCATGAAGTAGGATTCTATTATCCTGCTTATCTTTAAATTGAGAACTTGTGCCATTGCCTGAAAAGTGACCTAATATTCCCAAAACAAAGTCAAAGATTTCAAGTGCAACTCTCTATCCCTCCTATGTAGCTTCCACTTAAACTTTGCTACATAATAGTTTCACTTTCATTCCACACTTTGACACTATTTCCTTGTTATCAAAGCTTTGACTCCAAACTCATCTGTCCTGTTTATGGTAAACCTTTTCCACCCTCATAGTCACACCAACACAAAACACCCAAGACTCCAGAATTTGGCAACACGACAATTTGCAGCTAGGTTATTTAATTTTCCAAAATCACTCATATTATTATTTGCTTCCCTTTGCTGGAAATGAGTAAACTGTCAGTGAAAGGACTTTAAGAAATAACACCTGAACATAGCATGGACATCAGCAGAAGCAGGTGACCCCTGGGGAGGGGCGGGCAATAACCTTGTGGGGATGGTAAAGGCCAGATCAGACCAAAGGAGCGATGCTCTGCGAGGCACCCCCTGAGAGAGGGGCTGTGTGGCTCACCTGGAGATTATGTCCTCACAGATTCCTCTGTTTTCAGTCTCAAACTGATCATATGTAAACCAGCCACAGTAAACAGTAAAACAGTTGTCGTTCTCCCTCTCCTTTACCCACACTCTTTTTCAGTCAAATCCCTGTATTTTGCTGAATTGAACCTGAAAGACTTTAAAGATGTTCTTTGTTATCAGGGCTTCAAAATGTTCAGTTACCCAAATGTTCTCACCCCACACCTTTTTATCGTATGTACAGTCACAACATGTATATCAAAATTTTATTGAAGCTATTTAAATTAATATCATGAATGTGAATATTTTTAGATGAGGCTGTGGAGGAAGTTAGAATTTTGGAACGAGGAGAGTATGCCCCAGTTAGCAGATATTTGTTCCTCGTTAGGTAACTTGCTGAGGAACCATCTCACACAGAGTAGGAATTTCCACTTTCCAAATAAGCTTGTAACACTTGAGGTTATTGGGGACCAACACTTCCTTCCTTCACATCTCTCTGAATGTGTAATATATATATATATTGGTCAGAAGGAGATAAAACATCATTGTTAAACTTACTATTAGTCAGCCTCATTTCCAGAACATTTGAATGTCCCTCATTTTCAGACATGACATGGATTCTGGTGATACGCAATGAGTAACATTTCATAAGGAATGTGTAGATGCTATTCAAGATTCATTAAATAAACTGACAACAATTATTAAGACTTCATTGTGATATTCCAGTTATTTCTATACCTATATCAAGTTTTGGATCACTTTATTTTTTTAATTAAAAACTGATTTTTAAATTTGTTTAAAGCTTTATTTATTTATTCATACAAGACCTGGCCAGAGGTATAAGGGTGAGAGGATTCACCAGAGACAGAGTGGGGAGCAGAACAAACAGATCCAATGAATTACACTGCTGAGGAGAGCAGCCGGTAAGGTAGGAGAGGCCTGCTGCATCATGTGGGTCAACTCTCAGGTTGGGGATCAAACTGCAGCAGCTGTGGATCACTTCATAGTGCTGCACTTTAACCCACTGAGACACCAGGAAGGTCTCTGATTTATTTTTTGAAAGATAAATATGATAATCAATTCAGATCCTTAGAAAATTCAATAAAAACAAAGATTAAAACCTGATAAATAAAAAAAAATTAAGGATGACTTCCAGTCAATTCACAGTAGTTATTTTCTGTAGGAACTTTTCCATTGCCACTGTAACATCCTTGTTTCTCAGACAATATATAATAGGGTTAAACAATGGTATCAAGATGGTATAAAAAAGGGAAAGGTATTTGTTCATTCCTGATGAGAGAGTGGACTTAGGTTCCATGTACACACTGATGCAGGATCCAAAGAATAAAACCACAACAATGAGATGGGAAGAACAAGTCGAGAAGGCCTTGGCTCTCCCTGTGGCTGATGGCAGCTTCAGGATGGTGGAGATTATTTTCCCGTATGAACCAAGTATCAACCCAAAAGGCAGAGTGATGTTTGAAACAGTAAGAACAGAGATCAATGTCTCAATCATGAAAGTGTCCCCACAAGCAAGCTGAACAACTGGGGGTACATCACATAAAAAGTGATTCAACTCATTGGATTTGCAGAAGGGTAAAGTGAAAATCTCATAGATGAGCACAATGGGTACTTGAATGCCAATGATCCAAGAGACAGCTGCCAACTGGATACACAGTCTCTTATTCATGATGACAGGGTACATTAATGGGTTACAGATGGCAACATACCTGTCATAAGCCATGGCAGTGAGAATTAAGCACTCAGTGGCTCCCAAGGTCAGAAAGATGTCCATTTGAAAAGCACAGGTCACAAAGGAAATGCTTCTGTTTTGTCTACAAAGATCTGCTAATAATCTGGGCACAGTGACAGACACATAACATATTTCCAAAAAGGAAAAGTTTCCAAGAAAATAATACATGGGTGTCTGGAGTGAGGGGTCAACCTTAGTTATCATGATAATGAGGCTATTTCCCATAAGAATAACAATATAGATTATCAGAAATATAGCAAACAGAAATCCTTGAAGCTTGGGAACATCAGAAAACCCAATGAGGATGAATTCCACCAATGTAGTGTGGTTCCCCAAGGGGGAAAGTTGGCCTGTGTGTTCCATTTATGAGAAAAATTTTTTTTCAGTTTAGAAGTTGTTCAACCTTTTGGGCTAACTGCAGTGTGCGACATATTAAATCAATGACTTCACACCCATTGTCAAAGATAAATACCCAGCATTTTTGCTGGTTTATGTTACATTTTTGCTAAGATATTTCCACCTAAGATGCTAAAAGTTCAGAAACAAAAAACAATAATACTGTTCTTCCATATTACATTTAGATTTATGAGAGATCCACTTTAAAAATAAGAAGAAAATATAGATAATAATAACATGAAAACAATGCATGACAAGTAACTTCTCTCAAACAGATCTTGGTTGCACTGACACTTTTCCAATAAGAAGTGCTTCTACATTGAGGTTTACAAATTTTAATGCTTTAGAGTATGTTAATAATTTTATGCATTTTGAAATAGAAAGGAAAAGGAGAAATAAAGTGTAAAAAATTGATCTGGACATTCATACATGACCTTGGACTGAATATTCGATATATTCTGGCAATGTAACCAAATCAAAACAGGAGTGCTTAATTTTCCTTGATTGAAAACACACCAAGAGATAATAAGAATGTACCTCATGGAGATGTTTTGAAATTTAAGAGCACAATCTATTGAGCAAGGTTACATAAAAAATGCAGGAGTACTTCTGTTAAGCGTTGTTATACAATCATTGTTCAATTTATTGTATTTATCATTATGATTTAACTGATATCACTTTTCACCATTTTTACGTTTGCTCCTCTTTAATCCAGTCATGGAGTAGACATTTTCCAGCCTATCAGTGGAAAGAAAGAACAGGGTATTGATTTGCCAGGAATTCTGAACCATGTGGGAAATGCCAGCCAGCAGCACATACTAGGGAAACACCATCTAGACTAATTGAACTTTGGGGTTAGTTTTTCTCTCATGGTTCCAGTATCTGACTTTTGAGTCCATGAGAAGAGACATGTAGAAATACAAATAAAATTAGTGTAGATGTCTAACTCAAATCTTATAAAATATTGAGAAAATATCCCAAGATAACCTTGTTTGGTTATTTTCTTTTAGTATGTCTGTACAATTTTCCACTTACCAATTTTCTGTTTTACCAGGACTGGCATGGTTATGCCATGCCAGAGAAAGTTCTGGTTATTTGAGAATTTTTTTTTATTAATGGTATTTCAATAGTCATTATATTAAATGTTGATAAACATCCTGGGTTTTCTTATTTATAACCTCCTGAATAAAGTAGATACTGTTATTTTACATACTTTGCAGAAAAAGTCAATGCATGGATAACTATGTCTTCCCGGTGCCAAGAAGTGGTGACTGACCCAGGCCAGCTACCCCTCCACAGGGTGGGGCTGAGTCTATATTCCTAATCAAAACTGACATGTGTTCTTAGAGCATTCAGTAAGAAGTGATTTTTTAATGTAATATTTTTCAAAATATAAGTAAATTTCATAGCACAAAATTTTTTCAATAATGAGCTTGTTTCTTGTATATTTTACATTGTATACTGCCATACTTGCAGTTATAACTTATATATTAAGTTTAGAATTTTATCTCACAAATGAATTTGGTCAGAAATCAGAAATCTGTATTTAACTTTGAGTTTTAAAATACACTACAAAAAATTAAAATATAAAATAAAGCATACTCTATAATAAAATATGCAGGGTAAAATAATTTCTGCTTACCTGGTAAACAATGGAGAAATCCCTGTCATTCTTTTAATAATAGCATGTTATGGCATATAAATTTCTGGTTCTTATTATCAAGTAATACATTTCAACAACTGTTATTCTTCCCCAATCTCCTACTTCACTTAATTCCAATGAATTTAGGTAGGAAATTGTGCCTTGTTCACTGAGGATAACACTGACCCGTTCATGCTGCATTTAAATTCCAAGCTCTGTGATTTCGGCAGTAACTGGGAGAACACGAGACTGTCCGGCTGGATCAGAGATGCGGTTCGCTTCTCTCTGGGGATGTGGGCTGTCCTCTACTCCAGCTTGGGGAATAGAGATTCCCCGTTTGGCTCGGAGGCAGAAGGCTTCACAGGGCTAATCGTGAGCTATAACTACGTGGAAATTGGACGATATTAAATCTCAAATCATTTTTAAAAAATAAACATTTTAAACCTTAAATAATGCAACTTGGAAAGTCTCTAGAGCTCCTGCAATTTTTTTTTAAAGATTTATTCATTTACTCATATAGAACTGGGGTACAGGCCAGAGATGCGGAGGGTGAGAGGATTCACCAGAGACAGAGTAGGGTACAGAACAGGCAGATCGACGAAGTACACTGCTGAGGGGAGCAGCGGGCGGGTCAGGAGAGGTCTGCCTCGCCGTGTGGATCTCCTCAGGGGCAGGCGGGAATCGAACTCATACAGAAGTGGCTTTAGCTTCTCAGTGCTGTGTTTTAACCCGCTGCGCCACAAGGGAGGACCAGAGCTCCTGAAATTTTTTAAGGCCCTCTGTTCATATCAGCATACAGTTTATCTTTAGTGACAGTGACTTATATAAGAAAAAATGAAGTTAATAGAGAGAGAGTACACTGAGCCTTGAATTTTCTCTGTTGAGAGGTGTGAAAGGGAGAATGACATTAGGCGATTTTTAAAACTATAAAGAGAGTAGGACACATGTTACCGTTGCTGTGACTCTTTGCTAAACGTTGTAAATTATGAATGAAGTAACCATAAATATGGGAGTATGCGCAGGGTTCTTCAGGAGACACCAAGAACTGTGCAGCCTCTAGGTTGTTGGTAAAGTTTGACTGCTAGAATCCTGCTCCTCTTTAAATAGAGTTGACTTGTTTCATTCTATGAAAAGTGACCTAATATTCCTGCAACTCATGAGGTATTTTAAATGCAACACTCCATCCCTCCAACATAGCTTCCATCTAACCTTTATTAAGGGTATTTTCACTTTCTTTTCACACTTTGACACTATTTCCTTGTTATCAAAGCTTTGACTCCAACTCATCTGTCCTGTTTATGGTAAATCTTTTCCACCTTCATACATGGACACAAAATACCCAAGACTCCAGAATTTGGCAACACGACAATTTGCAGCTAGGTTATTTAATTTTCCAAAATCACTCATAACATATTATTATTTGCTTCCCTTTGCTGGAAATGGGTAAACTTTCAGTGAAAGGACTTTAAGAAATAACACATGAACATAGCATGGACAACAGCAGAAGCAGGCGGCCCCTGGGGAGGGCGGGCAATATAAAGGCCAGATCAGACCGAAGGAGCGACGCCCCGCGAGGCACCCCCTGAGAGAGGGGCTGTGTGGCTCACCTGGAGATTATGCCCACGTTTTCGTTGTTTTCACCCACTGTAGATAATAGAACAGTTGTCATTCTCCCTCTCCTTTCTTCACACTACTCCTGCATGTCTTTAAAAAATATGCTTTGTTTTCAGTGCTTCAAAACTTTCTTATGTAGTGATTCAATGTTCTTTTTCTTAGTAATGATGCTTCTGTAAAGTAACTGAGTCAGGCATTTTTTTCCCACCTACCTTGACTCACCTTCTCTGGGTCTCCTAGTTGAGTTGGCACCTGCCAGGGACTGAGCAACATCCTCAGGCTTCAGTCCTCCCTGTGTCTTCATGTCTTTCTTTCTTGTTTCTGGGATGTTTCCAGTCCTCCCTCTTGCAACTTGCAGGACTACATGCTATAGTTCTTGACAATAAAGTAGATGACCTACACATTATTTAATTTACTTATATATCACCTACCTGTATTTCCTTTTAAATTTCTGCTCTACTAACAAATTTTATGTACACAGTACAGTCTTACTAGTTCAGTCTCCATACTGTACTGATGATAGTTTAACACTATTGCTCTTGCTTCAGTTCAAATGTGTTTCTCTTCTCTAAAACAATACAGCTAATGTGGTTTCTCTACAATGACTGCCTGGCTCCTTTTTAAAATACTTCCAGGGCCCTCCCTTGTAGCACAACTGGTTAAAGCATAGCAATATGAAGCTGTCTGCAGCCCCTGTAGGAGTTTGATTCCTGGTCAGGGAGCTGAACTACATGGTGAGCAGACCTCTCCTGACTCACCTGCTGCTCCCCTCAGCAGTATATTTCAGCTGTTCTGCTCCTTACTCTGTCTCTGGTGAAGCCTCTCACCAACACCTGTGTCTCTGGCCTGTACTCCAGTTCTGTATGCATAAATAAATAAATCATTTTAAAAATTAAAGTAAATTAATTTTTTCCATTAAAATCAAAATTCATACTCAAAATTAACTTTTTATGGACATTATCTTCATTGTTTCCTGCACTGTGTGATTTTCTCACCTAAAAGTATATATTTTTTAAAAAATATTTATTTATTTATGAATACAGAACTGGGATACAGGCCAGAGGTGCAGGGGTGGTGAGAGGATTCACCAGAGACAGAGTGGGGAGCAGAACAGGCCAACTGATGAAGTACAATGCTGAGGGGAGCAGCGGGTGGATCAGGAGAGGTCTGCCACGCCATGTCGATCATCTCCAGGGCACGGATCAAACTCATGCTACAGTGGCTGCAGACAGCTTCATATTGCTATGCTTTAACCAGTTGTGCCACAAGGGAGGGCCCTGGATATATTTTATGAAGGAGCCAGGGAAGGCCTAAAAGTATATTTTTATGTAATTATTTAACTACCTTCTAAATGTGACCTTCTATTAATTTTTTAATTTGTCATTTTGTAACTCTGTGGGTCTAAAATATACGTTGTGAACTTAAATGCTAAAAATAGAATCAATTGGCTTGAATATTACAAGCAAGAGTATTTACCATGTTTTCTGACTTTCCAGGGAAAGATTAAAAAGTAATAGGTGCATTTTCTTAGAGAAAGTTAAAGACCAAACCCCTAACAATATAAAGAAAAAAGGAAAATGAATGAAATAATAAATAGCTAATTTTAAAATTCATTTTCTTGTGAGTGAATCTGTAAAACTTTTTCTTTTATCCTCAACAAAATGGTTAATAACACTTACTTTGCTTACTAATAGTAAAGAATTGTTTAGCTTGTGTTGAGTCACAATTGGTGGAATGAGATGAGTGAATAACCACCTATGAGTAGAACCTTCTCATATTTATAGTTGCTAATACAGGCTTTATACAATGAGGCTAGCTACATCACTTAATAAACACACAGTCTTTCTGGACTGGACAGCCTATGAGAAAAAATAGAAAAACTCTGCAAAAAGCCTAGCAGTCTGTACTAGTTGCTCTCAAGGTTGGGTCATTATTGTCACTGGCTTCCTTCCAAGTGATCTTAAGTTTGACCCCAAACTTCCTGCACACACACACACATATGCCTATTTTGATTTTCAAAACAAAAGGTAGGATTATTCTTATTCCGCTCATCCTCCTCAAAGTAGATTTCCAATATAGGGAGACTTACACAAAATTCTAAGATTATGCTTGTTTACACATCCTTTTTTCATAATTGTATTTTTTATTGCTGCAACATTGACTTACAGCATTCTATATTTGATAAGGATATTTATGTTCATACCTTACTTAACTGATGGACGTTACCACACCACACCCAACACCAAACACCAATAATCATTTAAGAAGGAATTCAAATTCTGATGTTCATATACTGACTGGATACATGAGTATTTGTGCATCAAAGTTCATTCTCTCTGCTTTTGCTGACAGATACTTCATAGCTTCTATATCCGCAACATGACTGGAAGCAATGATGTGATTGGGAAGGAGGCAGTTCTAGAGGTGATGGTGATGAAAACTTTTAAAATCCTCCTAATATTTGTTATGAAAATTTTTCACACAGAATTTAATAATACATCTCTGGTCTATGAACTTGGGTTTGATGAGCTCTTTTATGGCGATAGAAGGACAAAGCTATATATATCTTATTAAAGTTGAATATATTTGGGCACTCACATTTGTTCTTATTTTTTTCCTTCATTTATTTCACATTAAACTAGAAATTGATTTGAGGAAAAAGAGACCCAGAGATTGTGCACATATGAACGCTTAAACTGCCTTATATGTGTGTGTGTGTGTGTGACAGGTAGATAGATAGATAGATAGATAGATAGATAGATAGATAGATAGATAGATAGATAGATAGATAGATAGATAGATAGATCGATAAATGCACATGATTGGAAAAGTTAAAGTGAATAAAGGTTTCTGTGATGGGGGATCCTTTTGGGATATCAGGTAAGAAATCTAAGCACCTGGGAAGAATAGTCACAAGAGGCTGACATGATGCAGATCATGGAGAATTAAAACAATGTGTAAAAATGCAGTAAGCTATGCTGGTTTATCAAATCTTGCAAATTTCACGTTCAGTTGGTACCTCTCCTGCATGCTTACACAGGATTTTTGACATTAAAGCCTTATAAAATGTAGGGCCCAAGTACAGCCCTGTGAAAGCTAGCCACAGCTGATTTAGTGCCAGTGCGTTACGCACCAAGAAGGTACCCACATGGTGCGGCAGACCTCTCCTGACCCGCCAGCTGCTCCCATCAGCTGTGTACTTTGTCCTTCTGCCTGTTCTGCTCCCTGCTCTGTCTCTGGTGAAGCCTCTCACCACCCTTGCACCTCTCACCCCTGGCCTACATCCCAGTTCTGTATGCACAAATAAATACATCTTTTAAAAACTTATAAATTTCTCTAAAGATGGGGAGGGGGCTAATGCTGATTCCACCTCAAGAATGCAGTTTGAAGCAACAGAAGTGACACATATCTACACCTAACATTTTAATAGTTTATGTAGAACAATCTTTCAGTTATTCAAATGCCTTTCACCCATAATGTTTATCTTTTCATGTGTGTTAAATATCCCTATATGACAATTATAATTGAGCTGTTTAAATTAATACAGTGAAAGTAAAGGAAGTTAAGTTGCTTGACAGAGAAATACTGAATTTTAAAACTAAGATCTTATACATACTTGAAGACATATTTAAGGAATGAGCTGCAAAATTCCTAATAAAGGAAAAGAGATCCTCAATTTCTCTAACATATTACCGACACTTAACATTGTTGGACTTTATATGGTTACAAGGCAAGCACTGGACATATGCAGATAAACATCGAGAGTTAAATATTTGCCATTAGTGTCCCATTTAGTGTAATCTAATGTATATAATTAATTTTTTCCAGACAATGAGTTGACTCTGTAAATACAGCAGGAGAATTTTTTAGGAATGATTTAGCCTTTAAAAATAAATGCTGAGTTTATTTTATGGAAGAGAAAAACATCAGATTCATAAAAAAAAAGAAAGAAAGAAGTTGTTTTTTTTTGTTTGTTTGTTTTTTTTGAGTGGTAGTACAACTATTTCTGCAGGAATTTTCCCAAGGCCGCCATAACATCTTTGTTTCTCAGACAATATATAATGGGGTTAAACACTGGTATCAAGATGGTATAAAAGAGAGAAAAGTATTTGTCCATTCCTGATGAGTGAGTGGATTTAGGTCTCAAATATACAACGATGCCTGATCCGAAGAACAAAGTCACAACCATGAGATGCGAAGAGCAAGTGGAGAAGGCCTTGGCTCTCCCAGTGGCTGATGGCAGCTTCAGGATGGTGGAGATTATTTTCACATAAGATCCCAGGATCAACAAAAAAGGAATCGTGACAACCAAGGCAGCAATCACATAAATCAGCATCTCAATCATGAAAGTATCCCCACAAGCAAGCTGAACAACAGGAGGAACATCACAGAAAAAATGATCCATCTGGTTACGTTCACAAAAGGGTAGAGTGAAGATCTGGTAGGTAAACCCTATGTGCACTGGAATTCCAGTGATCCAACAGACAGCTGCCAGTTTGATACATCGTCTACTGTTCATGATGACAGGGTAGAGCAATGGGTTGCAAATGGCCACATACCTGTCATAAGCCATGGCAGTGAGGATGAAGCACTCAGTGGCTCCAAAGATCAAAAAGAAATACATTTGAACTGCACAGGCTAGAAAGGAAAGTTTCCTGTTTTGTCTACAGAGATCAGCTAACAATCTTGGGAGAGTAACTGACACGTAACATATTTCCAAAAAAGAAAAATTCCCAATGAAAAAATACATGGGGGTCTGGAGGGAAGTATCAACCTTAGTTATTATAATAATGAGGCTATTTCCCATAAGAATCATTATATAGATTATCAAAAATATACCAAAAAGAAAACCTTGAAGTTTGGGAACATTAGAAAACCCAAGTAAGATGAATTCCACCAATGCAGTGTGGTTCCCCAGGGGGGAATTTTGTCCTGTGGGTTCCATCTATAAACAGAATGATTTCAAGTTGTAGAGAAAACAATCTTTTTCAACTAGCTGAAAACTGAGACATATTAACTCCTTGATTTCCAATGCTCTAACAAATGATGGATATTTAGTTTTCTTATTTATAGATGTTATATTTCAAATCCTGTATCCTAAAATTCCAGGACATAAAATCAAAAACTCTATCCCTCCTGATCTTATAAAGGATTGTGCCTATATGCGCACAAGCCAAAATAAACAAAAGTAAAATAAGAAAAAAACATGTCAAGGGGCCCATCTTCAAAGTCCTCTCAATAGCATGAACATTCTCTAATGAGAAATTTTCTCTTTTCTCATTAATTTATGTCTACTTGCTATTTTTATTTTTTTCTGCCTAGCACCTTCTAATTTATAATTTGTTTATAAGATACTTACATGTTATTTTTGATGTTTCTTCTGAGAATTTCTCTCAGCTAACCCAAGGTAAAGTGGTGAGGTAACTCCATTGCTTGGTCCACTTCAATCAACCTGACACTCACCAGCTAGTTGAACTGGAAATAACACACCATAGAAAGTCCTATGTGTACTTAATATCTAGATATTAAGTTATATGAAGTAAGATTTGCATAAATTGTCCTCAACTCCCTCATTCCCTACATTGCAATAACTAGTTCAAATTTCAAGCCTTTCAAAATAATAGAGGTTTACCTGTTTTAGGGGTAATTAATGAAGAAAAGAATAAAAAGAAAGTGTAAGAGAATTTGATCAGACAGTTTACACTTGACACCAGATTAAATGTTATATCTGCCATTGCATCTTTAGCTTCTGTCTTAGAGGGCTAGGCTGTTAACATGACTTTTGTAGAATATAACTGACATATCATATAATGTGTATGTCATCTATCCTGTGTATCCTGTGCATTGTAACATGTATATCTGATTTTAGAGACACAGTGTATGTGCAGTGTAGATTTAGCCAAATCAGCTCCTTCAATAATTATTTTTAAATGAAATATGTTCACTTCTCTGCACTACGCTGAGTCTTAGGCCTTGATTTTTACTGTACCCATCTAGTATATTATTCACTAATTTGAAACAATGATTTTTTCACACTTTGTCACATATTCCTAATCTACATTGTCATTAGTTTGGAACTCCTCCTTCCCAGACAAAATCCGTGTTACCTCATAGACTACAACCTCCCTTTCTGCCTCCAAAATAAAAAATTCCCTTTCCCACCCACAAATCCCAAACCAATGAATCAATTCACAATTTCTATATTTTCTTTCTTAGTTCTCACAAATCCTAAATCCCTTCCTATCCAATTCAAGAAATCCGTAATTCTGACTGCAATTTTTCACAGCACAGCCTAAGGATTTATAAGCTTTCATGACCCAAATATTTTTATGACCCCACAGATATCCATAGATGAGGTCAGGAATCCAGGATGTTTAAGATTCATAGAATAATTTCTCTAAAATGAAATGGAGTGTGTCTCGTGGCCTAATTTTGAGTCAACTGTTTCTATGCCTTCCTTTCTTTTCTTTTCACAAGTTCTTTCTTATATTCATAAATAGTATCTTCTCAGACTTCTTTTTCTCTCTCTGCTTTTGTTTCTCTGGTTTCCTTTATTTTCTCCTGTCACCTAGTGTTTTTGCTTTCCCATTTTGTATCTTCTGGAGTTTTAAAAGTTATATCAGCTTCCCTACATGTGTATTTATGTTTTCTTCCAGAATCTAGGCCTTAGGAAACACAAGTACAGCAAAAGAGAAAATTGAATTCTCGGTGAACAAGATAAATATGCGTGTTTTTGTGTAATCACTATCAATTATTATGAAAAATACTAAGTAACTATAAAATTCAAAGTGTGTCAAATGCCAAGGAATTGAGAATAATAATAGGAGATCATATGAGTTCAGTCATTTCCTAGTATTTTCACTTTTAAGGAAAGAATATAAATTTATTGAGAAACTATTGGCCCTCATAGCCTCATTCCATCCTATAACGCAAAATATTGGCCAATACTTCTAGGTTGATAAGTGTCTGCCAATGGATAATTAGAAATCATTTACCTCTGATACCAACATTCATGCCTTAGGAAGCCCTCCCTTGCTGACTTAAGGACTTGATATGGAATGATTCAAAAATAAAATTAAACATTTTCCTATTCAAATCATTAGAGCTTTTATTCCCTTGACTGAAAATAATTATGTGTAACTCAAGCCGTAGTTATGAGCGTTGCATAGCATAATCTATTGAGCAGATTAACTTAAAAGATGCAGTTCTAATTCTGTTAGGCACTGTTAGGTGGCCATTATCATACATATTATACTTATCAGCATTATTTTAATTTATATGATTTTTTTCTCTCATCTTGAAGTTTCATCATTTTATCCAATCTTGGAGTAGATGATTTCCAATCTGGCAGAGGAAAGAATATAGAGGATAGTATTTAGGTAGGAATACTGAGCTTAAAACCAATAGAGTATTCTGGGCTGTATGGACACAAAACAGTAGCAATACTTGGAGAGAAAGCCACTCTTTTGGACTTTTTCAGGTCACCTTTATCACACTATTGTGTTGGAGAACATAAGAGAAGCAGATTTTCACAGATATAAATAAAATTATATTTAAAATTGTAACACATCCTATTTAGGATATAAGTGAATCAATTACATTGTTTTCTGAACTCAGTCAATTCTCTGAATTAACAACATAGGCATTCTTTGACAGTTTTATCACAGCAGTTGAATTTCTCCTTACCATTGTTTATTTTAACAGGAACTATGACATTGATACAGTCTGGTTATTGGAAACTGTTTTTCATTGTAACAATTTGTGAACATTTATTATCTGCTATGCACATGGTTAATAATCTTACCTCATTTTTTCACCAATGCATTCTGAGTTCTGTAAGTGCTGTTATTATTCACATTTTGCATAAATAGCCAGATACACGGAGATGTTAAAACCCTGTCCAACCTTGAGAAACTAGTATGAGTCAAGTCACCTGCGCTCAGCAGAGCAGTGCCAACTCCTTAATCAAACTCAATCATTTTATAAACCATTCTTGAGAAATTGCTTTGCATGTGATTTTCTGAAAAAATAAAAGTAAAACTTCACAGAAGCACTTTTATTTCAGCTCAATTTTTATCTTTTTTGCTTTTATTAAAATGAAAGGCTGATAACTTACATTTAGGTATATTTCAGGTACAGAGATTCATCTCACAAATTAATTTGGCCAGGAGAAAATAGTTTGTTTTTAATGACTTTTGATTTTTGCATTTAAAAATACAGTATAATAAAATTGGCCCTCCCTGGTGGCACAGCAGGTTAAAGCACAGCCCTGAGAAGCTAAAGCCACTTCCGCATGAGTCCAATCCTGCCTGCCCCGGAGGTGACCACATAGCGCGGCAGACCTCTCCTGACCCGCCCGCTGCTCCCCTCAGCATTGTACTTCGTAGATCTGCCTGTTCTGCTCCCCACTCTGTCTCTGGTGAATCCTCTCGCCGCCCCTGAGCCTCTGGCCTGTACCCCAGTTCTGTATACACAAATAAATAAATCTTTAAAAAAATATACAGTGTAATAAGCAGGTTAAGTAGTCTCTGCTTACCTTCTTCATTACCTTCAAATCATTGTGTTGCTCTTTAATAAAGAATAGTATGATATCATATAAGTCTCTGATTTTGGTTATCTGTAACAGCTATTATTTTTCTTCCTTGAAATCATATTTCATTTAAATCCACTGTGCACTTTAAGTAGGACATTGTCCTTTATTTCTATATTTGAGGTTATTGTGACTCTTAAGACTTTTTAAACACAGAAATCTGTGTATCAGTGGTAGCGAGGCAATTAGCAAGGCTTTCTCAGGGTGGGCTAGTGATTCGTGGGAGCTTCACTCTCTGGGGGGATAGGGAAGGGAAGAGGAACACCCACCCCCTGACCACTCCTCTGTCCCTTTCTACCATCCTCTCCATCTCTGGGGAGCAGAGCAAGTCCCCTTTTGGGAAAGGCTGGGGAACCGATTCACAGTCTCAATGATAGGCTTTAAGGATGAAATCTGTAAGTGCCAATTTACAAATTATTAAAGCAGAATTTCTCTACTTTGAAAATTAAACTAGGTAAGACTCTAGAGATTTAGTTTCTTACTGCCTTTTATTCAGATCAGGGAAATGAAGTTTCCTTGGTTATAGGGACTGATATAAAATATATATATGCATTTGAGCAAGTGATCATAGTGCACCGAATCTGGAATTTTCTCTATCAAAAACATAAATGGGAAAATCACATATGGTAAAAAGTGAAATTGATGAAGATACAGCTCACTAACTGCTATCATATGTTTATTGCATAGTTTTCTAGACAGAAGCTGATCTTAGTGATTCAGACACTAAAGTGTTAAGTTCTCATATCATGACTTTCTTTAAAAATTCATGTGTGAATATTTTTACATCAAATATAATATGTTTGAATAAATCAATACATAAAAGCTCTTTTATGAATATAACATGAACTTATCTGGCTTAACTTTTAAGGGTAAATGTATTATGTATGCATTATTAATGGTAAAAACAAAAGTTAAGAAGATAGTGTATTTTGAAATTTTATTCATATTTGGAAAACACTGAACTTTTTTTTTAATATATATGTTTCCTTCTTTGTTTCTGGTTTCAGCTCATGTTAACTATCTAATGGAATAAAAAAAAATAATTAAACTTGTGCTGTTAGTCATTCTTTCAGTCTAATTTATTTAAGTAGAAGTCTGTCATCTTACAGAAAATATAATGCCTCTGGACATATAAAGATAAATTAAAAATGTAATGTTGATAACATAATTAAATCTTAACAACAGAAGAAATCAACTTTAATGATTCCAGTGTGTTTTAAAGCAATATCTATATTCTACATAAAGTTTCAGAATACTTTATAAAAATAATGTCTTGAGTTAATTTTATAAGAGATAAAAATATGAGACCATGCATTCAGATAAATTCAGGGTCTTAAAATAATTGAAAAACCAAA